TAGATGAGTAAAGAAACAAAGTTGCCGAAGGCTCAAACGAAGTTGTCGTTAGACCAAATAAACAAAATCCCTAAACAGGGAGAAATGCGAAGTTATTATAATAACGAGTATTCTCAAATGCCACGCATTCCCCGCCAAGGGGAAATTTGAATAACTGATTTTAATCGCAAAAGAGAAAGAGAAAACTTTAAAATTCGTCCAGTTTTGATAATGAGTAATGATTGGCAAAATCAGCATGATAAATACTCAATAATTGCTCCTTTGACTAGCGATAAGAAAGAGTTAGAAAAAAGCGTAGCATCTTTTGAAGTATTAATTGAACCCAATGAAAAAAATGGTTTAGATGCTACTAGCAAAATCCTTCTCAATCGTTTGCAAATTGTCGATAAAAATTTTCGCTTGATTAGGAAAGTAGGTCAAGTGGATAGTAAGATTTGAAAACAGGTTTGAAAGGCTTTATGAATTGTATTTACTGGGCGAAATTTGTAGAGTGATATTCCTGTCCTAATGATTTGCAAAGTATTTTTATAATCATTACATCCATCATCTTAAAAGTGTAAAATAACATTATGGTAGAATGAAAAGAAATGCATCAAAATTTCGTTGAATGTTCATGATTACAATCATTGTGAGAAAAAAATGGTTTTGACTACAATCAAACTAAGGCTTGGATTGAAATTGGTTTAAGTCCGAGATGGGACTATGATTTTGCTTGATGATTAGCAAATAAAAAAAACAAAACTTCTAAAAATTTAAATCAAAATGATATCAAGGAATTAAAGAAAGAGTATGATAACTCTTTATTTGATTATTCTTATCTAGTTCATTCAGACAAAGAAAGAAACTATGATGTAGAAGGAGCACAAAGAATAATAGCAGGATGGATAAAAAGAGGTTTAACGCATCAAGAAGTTAAACAATGAATGAGTGTTGGTTTAAGTTTTCGAGAACATGATTTTGCTGGCTACTTAAAACACAAAGGTCATAGTTATTTATCAGTTAATTTGAAAGAATTGAGAAAAGAGTGTAATGTT